CAAAGGTGTGGCTCTAACATCAGTTAGAAAAACAGGTCACCAGGCGAGGTGGCTCACGCCTGTAATCCCAGTACTTTGGGAGGCCAAGGTGGGCAGATCACGAGTTCAGGAGTTCAAGACCAGCTTGACCAAAATGGTGAAACCCCATCTCTACTAAAAATACAAAATTTAGCCGGGCGTGGTGGCGTGCACCTGTAGTCCCAGCTACTCAGGAGGCTGAGACAGAATAATTGCTTGAACCTGAGAGGTGGAGGCTGCAGTGAACTGAGATCACACCATTGCACTCCAGCCTAGGCAACAGAGCGAGAGTCTGTATCAGAAAAAAAAAAAAAAAAAAAAAAAAACCCAATGGGTGTCTCCCACAGCAATTGTTCCCGATCTAGGGCTTCCTAGATCATAGAGGACTCCCTGTGTCCCATCACTTCTGGTCACTATCAGCAAACTGTAGCTTCTGGTGGGCTGACTGATGGGGAAGCTTCCTCCCCTACCCGCTGAGGACAGTTAGGACACTCTGGTACCCAATGACCCTCTTGTTTACAATATGCACAGTGTTGTGGTCTCAAGGGCGAAGGGCCCTTTGGCTGGGCAGTGGGAGCCCTGGGGATCTTACTTATGCTGGTCATCTTCTCCAGAGAACTGTTTCTTTCCTTTTTTTTTTTTTTTTTCAACACCGAGTTGTTACGAAGGCTGGAGTGCAGTGGCGTGATATTGGCTCACAACCTCTGCCTCCTGGATCCCAGCGATTCTCCTGCCTCAGTCTCCCACATAGCTGGGGTTACAAGCACCTGCCGCCACACCCAGCTAATTTTTTGTATATTTTGTAGAGACGAAGTTTGGCCATGTTGGCCAGGCTGGTCTCGAACTCCTGACCTCAGGTAATCCACCTGCCTTGGCCTCCCAAAGTGCTGGGATTACAGGCGTGAGCCACCACGCCTGGCCGCAGTGAACTGTTTCTTCTATACTGGTTGGTTGTAGCCAAGAGCCATGGTAGCCTGTTGTCTGGTGTTGCCCTGTTTTTTTGTTTTTTGGGTTTTTTTTTTTTTTTTGCCCCTCCTGAACCTGGCCAGGGTTGTTCAATATGTCAAGGGCAACCTCAACCAATTGAGATATCAGCATCCCCAGTGTCGCTTCTGCTTTTCATAGTTTACCCACATGGCTTGTGCCACTGGAGTCCTGCAACAATTACTCTTCCCATATTGGCCACCCAGCAGCTTAGAGGCGGGGCTGGTGGTGACACAGATCCCACAACTCTTGGGCCACACTCAACTAGTTTAAAAAAAAATGGGGAGGGGGTGAGCGTGGTGGCTCATGCCTGTCATCAGCACGCTGGGAGGCCGAGGTGAGTGGATCACCCGCAGGAGTTTGAGACCAGCTTAGGCAAGATGGTGAAATCCTGTCTCTGTAATATTAGGTTGGTTCAAAAGTAATCACTGCTTTTGACATTGAAAGTAATGCTGAAAACTGCAATTGCTTTAGCACCAATATCATTTTTTTAAAAAATTATTAACTTTCTAAAAATTGAAAGGGGTGGATTTCACTTGGCAAAGCAGGAAATACAGCAGCTGCCCTGCACTGTGGCTCTGCTTCCCCAGCAGATTCGAACTACCTGAGATTTTGATGAATTCACGGAAAGCAATAGGGACATTGTGTTGAAAAACACAGCAGAAAGGCCAGGGGCGGTGGCTCACGCCTGTAATCCCAGCACTTTAGGAGGCTGAAGTGGGGGGATCACTTGAGTTCAGGAGTTTGAGGCCAGCCTGGACAACACAGCAAGACCCCATCTCTAAAAAACAAATACAAAAATTGGCCAGGTGCAGGCTTGTAGTTCAGCTTTGTGGGAGGCTGAGGCAGGGGGACTGCTTGATTTTGCTATGTTGGCCGGGCTGGTCTCAAACTCCTGATCTCAGGTGATCCACTGCCTCGGCCTCCCAAAGTGCTGGGATTACGGGTGTGAGCCACTGTGCCCACCCTAATTTTTGATTTTTCTGGTAGAGACAGGGTCTCCCTATGTTTCCCAGGGTGATCTTGAACTCCTAGGCTCAAGCGATCTGTCCCCCTCGGCCTCCCAAAGTGTTGGGAATACAGGTGTGAGCCACTGCACCCAGCTGACAAAGAAGCTCCTGAACAAATTCATTTTATCAGATTCTCTAGCACTAAAATAGTCCTACCTCACTGTAATGTTTTGTAGAGTATCTCACAAAATAATGAAAAAAACCCCAATATTTTAATACATATTTTTCTGTATATTTCCTTCTAGCCGTTGAACATATGATAACATATTTGTAAATAGTTGCATGTGTATATACACAGCCTTGCCCGCTATGTGTGATAATATAATAAAAACATTTATCTGAAAAAAATACTTTTTGCATCAAGTGGCAGAGCTCCTGCTTCTGGTGACCTGGGGTATGGCAAGGGGGCTCTGGGAGACGCAGCTCAGCCTGCTATGAAAAAATCTGTCTCTCTAAAAAAGAACGAATTCCCCAAACCAGTCCCGCTGTCGTCTACCCAGATGCGGCTGCCCTTGGCCTGGCGGGAGGTGTGTCTCAATCCCCTCGGAGCACAAAGAGCCAGGAACAGAAACTGAAACCGAGCTGCACCAAGCCGAAGTCTAGAGATCCCACTGCTAGATCCAGAGAATTTACCCGTCTCGTCAACCCGCGGGCAAAGTCCGCTTTCTTCCCTGAGGGAGCAGCACCCAACAACCCAGCAAAAGGTCCAGGCTGCTGCTTCTGTGCTTTTGGGGTAGTGCCGAGTGACAGCCCCGCGGACCACGTGCCAAGGAGATCCCAGGGAGTCACCCTCGACCCTCTGGGGCCACGTGGGTGAGTTCCCCCTGGGGGAGGTGCCACTGCCCACTGCTTCGCCCTAGTGAGCCTCAGGGAGTTAGGACCAGAACCCCAGTCGGCCCCATCTGGTCGCCAGATGTTACCCACACAACGGGTGGGCTCAATTGTATGGCGAGTGTCAGCTAAGGAGGATTTGGCAGATTTTATTTCTTGCAACAAGTAAGAACACCGAGACAGTTCCGGAAGCGGTGTCTCCCCGAGCTGAGGGCTGTGGCAAGTTTTATAAGCATAGCATAGTGGCCGGGGGCGGTGGCTCACGCCTGTAATCCCATCACTTTGGGAGGCCAAGGCAGGGGGATCACGAGGTCAGGAGTTCAAGACCAGTCTGGCCAAGATGGTGAAACCCTGTCTCTACTCAAAATACAAAAATTAGCTGGGTGCAGTCCCGGGTACCTATAATCCTAGCTACTCAGGAGGCTGGGGCAGGAGAATCACTTGAACCCGGGAAGCGGAGGTTGCAGTGAGCTGAGATTGCACCACTGCACTCCAGCCTGCACAACAGAGCAAGACTCCGTCTCAAAAAAAGAGAAAAGAAAGAAAAGAACAGAAAAGAAAAGCAGCAGGTAATGAGGCGTGCTCTGATTGCAGCTAGCTGCCGCGGGGGAATGCCATAGCCCTGACCCCTCTCTGGGTCTCAGTTTCCCCAGCTGCAGTGAGGAAACTGGCCCCAGTGATTACGCTCATGATCCCACCATCCTCTGCCCTCACTCATGCTGCGGTCTGCATTTGCCCATTGTCAAGCTTGTGCCTGCCCTTTGTTCCTCACTCCTTACAACTGCCCTTGGCCAGGAATTTCACAGGGAGGAGCCAACGCCCAGAGAGGGCACTGAATCTCTCCAGGTCACACAGCCTGTCAGGGAGGCAGGGTCAGAGCCAGGTCACAAGTGTGCACAGAATGCACATACACACACACATGCTCACGCACAGACACACACACGCTCTAACGCACACACACATGCTCACACGCACACACAGGCACACAATGCTCTCATGCACATGCATGCGCACACATGTACACTCACACACGCCCACAGCACACGTGCACACACATGCACGCAAATGCACACACACTGTCGGGACTGGGGCTGCTGTTTCTGAGGGCTCCTGCAGGGGCTCTTGGTCCCCTGCTGTTCCATAAACACACACTGAAATGCAGAAGCCGAAACCCGGCCAAGGGAAGTGAAACCTTCCAGCACCCCTCCTGCTGTCCTCCCTGGAGTTGGGGGACCAGCACCTCGTGGCAGGAAGCACCCTGGCCCCCAGTAGCCCCCAAAATAGCTAGGTCTGCTGAGCAGGCCCTTCCTTCCTGAGAGGCCCCACACCAAGTCGGCAGGATCGCAGCCTTTGGCGGGGTGGGGGGCTACCAAGGAAGACCATGGCCTGGGACTCATAAAGCAGCGTGGGGGGTGCCATGAGACCCCTACCCCAAGCAAGGAGGGACCAGACCCAGGCCGACAGGCTCCTCTGCTGACTCCCTCTCCTGCCCCCTGCCAGGGACTCAGTCAAGTCGCCCAACCCCTGGAGCTTCAGTCCACACCTGGAAAACGGAGCCAGTGACAGCTGCCCCCAGGGCTGGGTGGGGGGCAGGGGTTGATGGTATGGCCCCCTAATGGCAGTCTCTGCCCTCCCTTTGCTGAAGCTCCAGATGCCAGGGGTGGTGGCCCCTGGAGGGGCTCATAGGGAGCCCTGGGCCGCTGGGTGTTCAGCCTTACACTCCATCTGCCCCTCTTGCCACCTCGTGAAGGACCCAGCTGCCCTGATGGGAGCCAGGACAACAAGTTCCCTGTCCCACAATCCCCATGCTCTGAGCTTGCGGAACCCTGGGTGTAGGGGCAGGAGAGCCCAGGCCACATGGAGTTGAGTGTGATCTGGGCAGCTTCCGAGAGGGGTTAGCCTGGAGGTCCTGGCCACCCAGAGCCCCCCAGGCTGGTGGGCCTGGCATCTGCATCAGGGCTGGACTGTCCTGGGGAGACCCAGTGTGGTGGTGAAGAAGGCCTGGGATTGATGCCTGTGGGAGGCTCCAGCATCGGCATACAGCAGGCCCTGGCACACAGCAGGCCCTGGCATACAGCAGGCCCTGGCACACAGCAGGCCCTGGCACACAGCAGGCCCTGGCGAAGCGGCTTGCCTCAGGCCCCAGTGACCTCTGGACTGGCCTCAGCCTCTCCCAGCAGACAGCTGAGCGTGGTGGGACCCCTGCCTGTCCCTGGGGCTGAGTGCAGGGGACCTCACCTTCATCCTTCCCCTCTTTGCTCTTGAGAGGCAGCTGGAGGGGGTAAAGCCAGCTTGGATGCCCTGAGTGCCACCTTCAGCCTGCCTCCAGGGCCCTGAGTCCCACCTGCGGCCCGCCTCTAGGGCTCTGTGTGCCCCTGGCCTGCCTGTCTCTAGGGCGGCTCTGTGTGCCTGCAGGCATCCGTCTGAACCTCAGTTTTCACGTCTATAAAATGAGCCTCAGGGTCGTTTCTAAAACAGAGCAAACTGAATCATCGGAGTTACACTGTCCCGGAAAATGACTGGGTGACCGAATCAGACATTTTGAAATTTTGCTTAAAGCAACAAAGAGCTGTAAAACCGGGGCTCCACATGGCACCTGTGGGTAAGGGCGACTCAAGAGTGACCACAGCCCTCTGGGGGCCGAGGTGGTGAAGGAGGGGCAACTTGTCATCCTAGTGGCCGCCAAAGTACACCTCTTGGTAGTGTTAGAGGAGCGAAGGGCAGGGGCAGGAACTTGCCGGCAGGGCCTGGGCTCAATGGGCCGTGGCAGCACAAGCAGCAGAGAGGGGAGGTTGGGGCAGCGCCTGTGGAGCTGACCCTGGCACTTCAATCTTTGGCTGCGTGGACCTCAGCCCTTCCCATCCGCCCCCTGCTCTCTGCCAACCTGACACAAACACTTCCCTTCTGTGGATCTTCAGGCCCATAAATACCAGCCTGTCTGCCGGTTAGACACCAGCCAGGGTGCCCGGGAAGCCCAGCTCCACATCAGCAGGTCAGTGCCCCCTGCTCTAAGACCCCCACACCAGCTCAGAGGAGCACACGGGAGAGGCAAGAAGGGCAGCAGCCTAGAACCCAGACACACAACAGCAAACCCTGGTGACACTTCTTTCCACTCCCCACGCTGAGCCTCAGTTTCCCTGACTATAAAAAGGAGCAGAGCCCTTTTCCCGTAGGGAGTGTGCCTCGGGGAACCCATCTTCCCGAATAACTGGGCCCCGCTTCTCAGTTTAGGAAAAAGAAATTTCTTCTCTCCAAAGGAGCAGGAAAATTGTCTCCTCAGAGAAAGGGCCACTGGGGTGCAGGTGGGGACAGAGCTGAGACACCCCCAGCCGGTCACACCTCCTGGCAGGTGGCTGCCCTGCGGGGTTGGGACTCCTCAGCCCTCCCACCGCCATCCCCGCTCTAAGCCTGGGGCCCTGCCTCGGGGCCAGGGTCTCCCAAGTATGCCCACCCCCAGGTGCCGCCCCACGCCAGCATGTGCTCACTGCCTGTACCCCGGGAGCCCCTGCGCCACGTGGCAGTGGCCGGGGGCACACATGGCAATGAGATGTCGGGCGTCTACCTGGTGCGGCACTGGCTACTGGCCCCGGCAGAGCTGCAGAGACCCAGCTTCTCCGCAGTGCCGGTGCTGGCCAACCCCGCAGCCACCGCCGCCTGCCGCCGCTACGTGGACCGCGACCTCAACCGCACCTTCGCCAGCACCTTCCTCAAGTGAGTGCCCTTGCTACCAGGTGGGCACAGGCAGTTGGGCAGCGAGCCCCCACCGCACACCTCCCCTCCAGCCACCAGCAGGGCCCTCCCTGCATTCACTCCTGCTTCCCCTCTACCTGTGTGGCCCATTCCTCCATGGGGACAAACTGAACACTTAGAGAAACCCAGATTGATGTCACCTCCTCCAGGAAGCCCTTCCTGACTGCAAGTTGTGTCAGGACCTCCTCTGGGAATCCCAGACCCAGTGCTTCCTTCAGATTCACCCCACAGGCCTTGTTTACTTGTCATGTGTCCCGACCACTGTTCATGCCGCCTTCCAAAGAATAGTCACTGAGCCCCATCTTCAGACCAGGCTCTGGCCAGCTCAGGGGAGTGAAGGGGGAAGAGGACCAAGGTATTGGCTTCATGCTTAATGGGGACACAGAGGAAGAACTGGGCAACCATAACCCAGGAGGCTAAAGGCAGGCCCGGGGGCTACACAAAACAGCTAACCTGGCCGAGAGCAGTCAGGGAAGGCTTCCTGGAGGCAGTGGTATCTCAGCCAAGCCCCAAAGACTGAGTAAAACTAGCCAGGGGAAGAGAGGTGAGAGGGAGTTTCCAGTGGAGGGCCCAGCACAAACACAGGCCTGGGGACGAGACCAGCATGGTGCTCAGGCAGTGTGGCTGGAGTGAGGGCATGAGAGGCAGGTGAGTGGGTAGGCAGGCGGGAGGGCAGGCCAGACTGAGGGCTTGGACTTTACCGGGAAGTGTAGAGCCAAGAGGGCCATGCGCAGGGGCGGGCACAGCCACAGCGGCAGACGGGCAAGCCTTGAGCTGCTCCGAGTGGCTCCTGCGGGCCCTTGCCCCTCGCCCCTTAAACCACTGAAGACTGACTGAGGCTGTGGGGGTGAGCGTCCCCCATTCCCGTTCCCGCAGTTCCAGGCCTACCCCGGACGACCCATACGAGGTGACGAGAGCCCGAGAGCTGAACCAGCTGCTGGGGCCCAAGGCCTCGGGCCAGGCTTTTGACTTTGTCCTTGACCTGCACAACACCACGGCCAACATGGGCACCTGCTTAATCGCAGACTCCTCCCACGACGTCTTTGCCTTGCACCTGTGCCGCCATCTGCAGGTGGCCTCGGCCGAGCATACAGCCCCCAGAGGGGAGAGGGGAGGAGGGCAGGGCGGGGCAAGGCCGGAACCTCCTTTGATTAGTCCCTCTTCCCCGGGCTGAGTTCCCCTGGGTTCCAGTCTCCGGGGTCTGCCACCCGCCAGCACTCCAGGCCCCGGGCACCCCCTCCCCTGCCCTGCCAGAGGGCAGAGGGAGACCTGGCCAAGGAGGGTGGTGCCCTGTGCTTCCTCCATGCCACGCCCCCCACCTGTTTCCCCTCCCATTGAGGCCTGGGCCCCTAACCCGCCTCTCTCGCTCCCAGCTGCAGTACCCCGAGCTGTCCTGCCAGGTCTTGCTGTACCAGCGGTCCGGGGAGGAGAGCCACAATCTGAACTCCGTGGCCAAAAACGGATTGGGTGGGCCGCGGCCTCTTGGGAAGTGGGCGGGGCCAGGAGGGCTGGGGGTGGGGCCATGCACCAAGGGGCGGGGCCTCTCCAAGGAGTTCGTGGGTCCTATTCCTGCCTCACCGCTTGCTTCCTGGTCCTCAGGTCTGGAGCTGGGCCCCCAGCCACAGGGTGTGCTGCGGGCTGACATTTTCTCGAGGATGAGCGCCCTGGTGGCCACAGTTCTGGACTTCATCGAACTCTTCAACCAGGGTGAGACCCTGGGGACTTGTGGGAAACAGCTCTCGGGAAGAGAAGGCCTGGCTCAGGGGGCGGGGAGCCAGGCTCACATGCAGGCTGGGATCCAGCCCTGAGGTCCCCCCACGGCCCACTCTGTCCCCTATCCTGGAGGGAGGGATTGGCTCACACACCCAGCCACCCACACAGGCACAACCTTTCCGGCCTTTGAGATGGAAGCCTATAGACCCGTGGGCGTCATGGACTTCCCCCGCACTGAGGCTGGGAACCTGGCAGGCACCGTGCATCCTCAGCTGCAGGTGTGTGTGTGTTTGTGGGGGGGGGGATGATTGCTGGGGCCACAGCCTTGGGGAGGAGGGTTGTCAAGGAAAACCGAGCCCCAGAGGGCCCAGCCAAGCCTCCTACGAGCTCACCAGAACCTCAGGTTCAGGAGCAGGATGGGAGGCTGGGCTCCACCGCCCCACTTCCCCTGGCCCTGCTGCCTTCCCTGGAACCCCACACTCGGGCCTAGCACGAGAGGCCACATAGCTCCTGTGGAGAGCATGAGGGAGACAGCCCTACCTTGGCTGTAGAAGGCAGAAGGAGGGGCTGTGGAGCAGGCCTGACCCAATTCACCTGCTTGGAGGTGCAAATACAGAACTCTCTTCTGATTTTCAATTGATTCCTTGAGCATCCCCATGCCTGTTGGCAGGTCATCCAAGTATCTCTCTCCAGGCCTTCCCTTTCTGAATGTTCCAGGATCTGGCAATCCTGCTTCCACACCTGTCCCTTGGGTGGCTGACAAGAACCAACTGGCTGCTGCTCTGCTTGCTGCCACACGGGGTCGCTGTTGAATAGGGTCTGGTGCAGTCTTGTGGCCTTTTGTGCCCTGAAGTTTCATTTTGAGGGGTTCGTTACCTTCTTACAAATAGAGGCAGCACCATGCTGTCCATGTTTAGGGCTAGAGGGTCTTAACCCAGCCATGCTCAGCTAACTTGCAGATGTTAAGCAATAACAGTCAATTTGGGTGGCTCCTCCAACAATTTTAGAATTTATTTTATTTATTATTATTATTATTTTTTTTTGAAATAGAGTCTCACTTTATCATCCAGGCTGGAGTGCAATGGTGTGATCTCAACTCACTATGACCTCTGCCTCCCAGGTTCAAGTGATTCTCCTGCCTCAGGCTCCCCAGTAGCTGGGATTACAGGCATGTGCCAACACACCCAGCTAATTTTTGTATTTTTAGTAGAGACAGGGTTTCATCATGTTGGCCAGGCTGGTCTCGAACTCCTGACCTCAAGTGATCTGCCCACTTTGGCCTCCCAAAGAGCTGAGATTACAGGCATGAGCCACCACGCCTGGCCTTAAAATTTGTTTAATAAAGTATCATATTGTACTTACTGCGTGCCAGACACTGCTTTAAACACTATTAGCCTGTTTGATTTAAACTTTAGAATGATAGTAGGAGCTTTGTTATCCCTATTGTACAAATGAGAAAGCTAAGGAACAGAGGTTAAGTGACTTGCTCAGTCACACAGCTAGCAAGGATTTGAACTCTGGCTTCAATCCCTGTGCCCATAACTATGAGGTTCCACTTCCACATTGGCATAGGTCTCCCCAAGGTGACTTGTGTCTTCATTTCTAGACACAGAGTAGATTGGCATCTCACCAGACCTGCTGTCATATGGATTGAGGAAGGGAAGAGTGGGTGGGAAAGGACATGAATAAGGGGCATCTTTTGGGTGCCAATCTGGGGTTGTCCTCTTCTCGGGCCAGGGCAGAGGTGGCCCCAGCAACCTTGACCTTTGGCTCTCCTCCCAGGACCAAGACTTCCAGCCGCTGCAGCCTGGAGATCCCATCTTCCAAATGTTCAGCGGGGAGGACCTGCTCTATGAAGGAGAGTCCACGGTGTACCCCGTGTTCATTAACGAGGCTGCCTACTATGAGAAGGGTGTCGCCTTTGTCCAGACTGAAAAGTTGACATTCTCCGTGCCTGCCATGCCCGCGCTGACCCCTGCCCCTAGCCCAGCTTCCTAACCGAAGCCACACCTCCCCAACCTGAGCCTTCCCATCTGAACAATGGGTCCTGAGGCACAGCTCCGAGCACAGAGGCCCCTTTTGTCACCTACCATGTACCACGTTCCTTGCCAGGTCCCCCAATCCTTGGCCTCAGTTTCCTATTCTATAAAATGGAAAATGTCCACGGGTCCATGATTTGTGTCCTGTCCTCACGGCTCCTCTCCGGTTGGGGAAGTGGATGAAGGAGGGGAGGATTGGCCACAGGACCTGGGCAGGTCTGGCCAGTACAGCCATGGCCATACAAATGTCTTGGGGCCAGTGGGGCTGCCTCTGTGCCCACAGCTGTCCATCCATGCCTGGGGGAGGATCCCAGAGTGTAGGAGGACAGCCTGGAGGAGGATTACTCTGGAGCCAGCAGAGGGGCTTCCAGAGGAGGCCACAACCCAGAGGGGGCCCCCAACCCTCCTACAATCCTGGGGTCAGAGGCTGAGTGTGGGGAGAGCAGAGCTGTGCCTGTGTCTGTGTACATGTGTGTTTGTCCATGCATGGCTGTGTGCCCCTGCCCTGTGTGCTCTCTGGCATGCATGTCTGTGCATTTCCCACACGCACGTGTTTCCAAGAGCCCCAGTAGCTTGGGCGTTCTGAAGGGATCTTTCTGTGGCCAGATGTGCATTTCTAAGTGTGTAATGAGCCCAGTGCCCATGGTGTCTCAAGCGGGGAGTCAGGGCTGTGGGAAGGGCCACAGCGGGACAAGGCTGTCCCCACGCAGATCAGCCTGTCCAGTTGTAGAGACGCAGGGAAGAGGTGGTTTGGGTTGAGGCGGAGGGACTTCCCAGCTCTAACTGGGGAGCCACGACTTCCACCATCCCCAGGGCACCGCACACTGGTGTCGGGTGAGCCAGCACGAGCCCTGCTACTGAGTACCCCTCTGTCCTGATGCTGGCACCCTTTGAGGTGTCATGGCAGGACATATAGGCAGGGCTACATGTGACCTGGCCGCAGCCTCATTGCCCACAGCTGCCTGAGTCTAATGGGCTCTTGCTGGACAGCTGGGACTGCTGAAGCCCAGAGTCCCCTCCCGGTGCCACTCCCCAGCCCTCTACACCCCCGCCCGGTCCATCAATTTCCTTGCGGCCACGGCTGCCACACTGCCTCCTGGTATTGAGCAGTGAGATGAGAAGGTGTGAAGGATATGAGGGCACCAGGGAGCGGCTGGCAGGCAAGATGGATGAGGGGGCAGGGGGCCAGTAGGCGCCTGGGGCAGGCAGGGCGGGCCAGCTGGGGAGGGGTGAGCAGGGAGGTGTGCCTGTGCGTGCCGTGTGCATGTGGATGCCTGTGTCTGCACATGCTGTGTGCTGGGTCCGTGTGCACAGAAGCTGTGCGTGTGCTCACCCGCGTGGCGAGTCAGCAGCCTCTGAGTTCATTTGCGTGTCTGCGCGCATGTGGATTAGCATGTCAGTGTGCTCATGTGTGTGCACGGGGGGGTATTTTCCATCACACAGATCAAAATTGCACACACTCACATATCGGGGCCACGACAACCCCAGCCTGGCCCTCCACTGGGTGTCTTAGTGAAGGGGAGCCACCAGTACTGGAATGGATCCCCAACTCCCTCCATCATCTCCCCACTTCCCACCCACCATGCTGTGGCCAGGGCAGCATGACCACGCCTTGTTGTTTACCCCCAAGGGGCTCCCGGACCCTCCATCTCACACAGACCACCCCCAGCTTGCCTGGCAGCAATTCCAGAGCTGCTTGCTGGCAGCCTTCCCCGACACAGCTGGGCACGGGGTTGGGCCAGGGGCCAGCCCTCCTTCCTTTCCGTGCCCCCAGAGCCAGCCCAGCCTCTTCATGTGGGGTCCCATCCAGCTCTGCAGGCTGAGATCTGGGACACAGGAACTGAGCCACAGCCATCCCTGAGCTGCAGGGAGGAGCCCCCAGAAAGTAGCGCTGAGGGAGAAACAGCCCTCCACACCCCCTCTTAGGAATCAAGGCCACTGCCAACCCAGCATTCCCAAGACAGGATTCTGGAGGAGGTGTGGGGTGCTCCAGCCAGACGACCCCCTCTGGGCTGTTCACTAAGAGTCAAAAGGCCAAAGAGCACTCTCACCCTAGGGACTGGCTGCAACTCAGGGGGACCTGCCTGCTCTGCCTCCCCGCAGAGTGATCCGTGTGTCCCCTGAATCCCTTGAGTGCTCAGCACAGGCCTCAGACAGCCCGAAGAGGGTGCCCGGCCAGGCCAGAGAGAACAGACAGACCCACAGGCAGAGCAGACACCCGCTTCTCACCTGGACCAGGCTCACTGTTTCCACTCATCCCCAGATGAGGGCTACATGGGCACCATCAGTCAGGGCACCACCCCCAGCTCCAGGCAGGTTGGGCTTACTGCCCTCCAGGCTGGGCTAGAGCATCACAGGCAGAAGGGATTATGTGCTTAGGTCACCTAGAGAGACCGAGGCTGGAGGCTGGAGGCTGGAGGGGCCTGCCAGCGTGGCGCAGCTCCTTGAGTTCATCCGTGTGTCTGTGTGCGCGAGGGTCAGCATCTCACAGGACCTGGGCTTCCTGCCATTCAGTCTGGGGCTCTGTGCTGAACACACTCGCTGCTGCCCCCTGGCGTTTCCTGCTCACACTGCCCCTGACAGCTGCACAGCTGCCGGCCAGCTGGGGCCAGCCTCAGGTCAGGGGGTCTGGGTCTTGGTGGGAGGGCACCTCCTCCGCCATTCAGCCCGGGATCTGCTGCTGCCACTCTGCCTCCCAACTCCCTGGGCCCTGTCGGCCCCAGCCCCTCCAGTCAGCCAGGCCTGGGCTCCTGCAGACGCCCAGCCGTCCTCAAGAACCACCCTCCTACCGCCTCACCCCTGCCACGCCTGGGCCCATTGATCAGGAATGGCTGGGGGGCTCTTAGCTGGGGAAGGGACGGACCTGAAGAGGGAGGACGAGGAGGGAGGGGGACGCAGCCACGTCAGAACCTTCCCACCTGCCCTCCTCCCACACAGCCTGACAGCACAGCCTAAGAGTGGGTTGGAGAAGGCCCTCTGTGTGCCCCAGAGCCCGAATCTCACCTTCGGAGACCAGGTCTCCAGCTCCAGTGGGAAGACCACCACCTCGGGACGCGGGCGAAGGGCAATCGGGGAGGCAAGGACAGTCCTGCTGAGAGGCCACCGCCTGCGTGAGCACCAGAGGGCTGAGCCGCGGTGCCGGGTGGTGACCACCCCTCCTGGCAGGCAGGGTCCCCTTGGGTGGCAGCTGAAGCCCAGCCACAGCCAAGCAGTGTTTCTCCAGGAGCCGGACAGCTGCTCTGTCTCCATGGCAGGTAGGCAACGTGAAGCAGAGGGGGACTCGTGGGTCGGGTTCAGGCTCCAGGGTGGGTGGGCAGGGGGGGAACCTAGGCAGCCCTGCTGAACCCAGGCCCTGGGCAAGAGGGTGGGGCAGGGGCACCCCAGGCTAAGGACTGAGATCCCAATGGGTCTCGGCTCACTGCAGCCTCCACCCCTCCACCCAGGTTCAAGCGACTCTCGTGTCTCAGCCTCCTGAGTAGCTGGGATTAATGCCTGCCAGCATTCCTGGCTAATTTTTATATTTTTAGTAGAGATGGGGTTTCACCATGTAGGTCAGGCTGCTCTCAAACTCCTGACCTCAAGTCACCCGCCTGCATTGGCCTCCCAAAGTGCTGGGATTACAGGCGTGAGCCACCACGCCCCGCCCATCTTAACCATGTTTAAATGCCCCGTTTTGTGGCATTAAGGACATTCACATTGTTGTGCAACCATCATTAGCGTCCACCTCGAGAACTTTTTGCATCTTGCAAAACTGATACTCTCTGTCCTCATGACACAGCAGCGCTCCACATCCTCCTCCCCAGCCCGGCCGCCACCACTCTACTTTCTGTTTCTGTGAATCTGGCCCCGCCAGGTTCCGCCTATGAATGGAATCATATGGTATTTGTCTTTGTGTCTGGCTCACCTCACCGAGCGGCGTCTGCAAGGCTCAGCCGTGTCGTAGCCTGTGTCAGAATGCTCTCCCCTGGACACCATTCCCTTGCATGGATGACCCCGTTTCGTTTATCCACTCATCCTCCGATGGACACTGGGTTGCTTCTGCT